CACACACACACACACACACACACACACACACACACACACACACACACACACACACACACACGAACTCACAAAACGGAGCGATGCAGGGAGGAGGAGAGTGCAAGTGAAGCCGTGCACCTCTATGCATAGACGCTCGACCGAAATATTGCAGTTACCTGCTCCTGACCGGGTTGATCAGGCAGGAATCTGTTGGTATTTGGAAATCAAATCCACGGATACGTCCTGGACACATCTGTGCATATATGAACCGTGCCACATGCACGTACTGAAAACACAAGTTGAGAGGTCTTTCTGTTTTTGCACACAGCTTGGGAAAACCCGATAGTGGCAGATAATGTTTCAGACAGAGCGATGTATTGACCAATCACATGGTCAATACAGCAACAATCAGTCTGGCAGGCTGTCTGCCCCTCCATCTGTCTGTTATTTTTCCTTATCCACCGCTCCGTCCTTGCATATCACCATTTACCTGCTGCCTCTCTCATCAAACATCCACCCAATCAACCAGCTAATGAATCAATAATCTGAACATAGTCACCACTTCAGGGAACGTAAACTTGCTCAAGTACTGTACTTGAGTACAGTTGTGAGCTACTCACTCCCTTATATAGTGTATATCTAACACTTCACCTATGCAGATTCAGAATACGATAACAATTAGGATTTCCCCAGGAGGGAATTTAGACATTACTCTCAATCATTTGTCACAGTTCAGGGGAAGTTCCTCAGTAGATCCAGCGGTTAACATCACTGTATCGCAGGCTAGTAGCAATATAAAAGGATCTTTTATCCAGGCTCATGGTAGAACAAAATATTAAAACCAGGAAACTTTCCAAAAGATAACCAGAATAACAAAAGGTAAAGAAAACAATAGAGGATTAAAAAAAAAAAAGTGATGATCTTATAGAGATCAAGGTTGTAGGTGCTGAAATGGCGTTTTCTGTTCTGGAGTATTTATTCACGATAACATTGTCCTGTGTGAGCAGTTTGGACAGGCACTACAAAGAGGTTGAGTGTGTGTTCACCGCTGCCTGATAAATGCATTGCATGGCTCATTAAAAGACGTTTAATTGTAATAAAGAAGAATTGTAAAAATAAAATAAACACAATTTATGATTTATGGTTTTTAAGGGAAAAAAGTGGATTCTGTGTTTGTATCTCACCCTCAGTTTCCTCTGTGGTCTTCCGCTTTTCCCCCAGCCTAGCAGCTCCATCTTTGACATCCTTATATATTCATGAGCCCTCCTCTGCACATGTCCAAACCTTCTCAGGCTCACCTCTCGAACTTTCTCTCCAAACAGTTCAACCTGAGCTCTCCCTCTGTATGCATGTCTCCCTGTATACTCATTTCTAATTCTGTCCATCCCACAGAACACTTCCAGCTGTCTTTTTCTTTGTGCCACAAACCACACATCATAGCAAGTCTCATTACCAGCTCATAAATCTTTCCTTTGACTCTTGCTACCATTCTGACACTGGTCTCCACCCACTCCAACCTACCTGCATGCTCCTCACCTCTCTTGTGCACTGTACCTTGACCCCAGGTATTTAAACTTGTTTTGCTCTCTAATCTCACAACTGATCACAAAGTTGTCTGTGAACATTATAGTCCACAGAGACTCCCTTTTTTGACCTCATCTGTCAATCACTATTGCAAGGTGTAACCTCAGCCCCATCTGTCACTCCTACTGCACACCACTACTGTCTCACTATCCTCATACATGGCCTGCATCAATCGCATACTTTCCTGCCACTCCTGGCTTTAGTTCCAAAGCTAATGGAATATGAAACAGGAATAAAATCAATGCATACAAGACAACTTCAGAATACTATCTAAAGGCTGAAACCATATCAATGTGCACATCTCAAATATGCAACAAAATATGTCCCCACGCCCCAAACAAACAAACACACATGCACGCACAATCTTTTAGTCTTTGCCAGGATACAGGTGGGTTTTATCTCCATCCGCCCTTGTTCATTACTTCTTAGCGAATGAGTCAGTGTTTGACTGATAGCAGCTGGACGGCTGAAAGCTCTGCAGGAAAAGGAAACAAGAGCGAAAAATATATTAGCAAAGTTGGCTGAAGTGTGAAACTCCAAACTTCTGTTTAGACTTTCTGGTTTTTGAAAGAGCCACAACAACTTTTAAACGGACTGAAGTGACATTTGCCGGTGAGTTTTCAAGCTGTGCTGCAGCGGAGTAGCTAATTAGCTATCAAGCCTGCTAAGTGACAGCAGCTGTGCCTTTCCCTCAGTGAAGGTTTGTTTAGTGGCAGTTTTATTTGAACGGGAATGTCAAGAAGTGTGCTCATATTTGTAAGTCGATAGGAATATTATATTATTATTTTACATTAGGATGTTATTACCACATGATGCTGCTGTTCAAAGGTCGCGGTTCTTGATTGAGTGGTAGCAGGCTACCAGAGGCCTGCACTACAAAGCAGGATTTAATCTTATCCGGGTACCTTTAGGGTTAAGTCCGGGTTTTCAGTACGACGAAGGTGATTCAGTTTTTTACCGGGTATATCACCATGGCAACTTATGCTACAAACTAACCTGTTTCGGAGGTGACGTTACAAATGTCTTTTATTTTTTATTTTTTAAACCTGTCCTGTAGGCAGAATCATGGTCTGAATGCTTTGTTGTGCCAAACACATTTGCTTTTCCAACACTCTCTGTAGACTCTCTCTTCTTAATGTTTCTATTTTATTTATTAAGTTTATTTTATTATTCATATTATTGCCTGTGGGGATATTATGCTGGAGCGGACTGGGGGTGAAGGCCAGATTGGCTAAAAGAAGAAGAAAGCAGAGGAATAGAAGAAGAAAAGGGACAGAACAAAAAAGAGAAAAGGAGGAGGGAGAAGCAAAAAGACGCGCTGGGCCACTGCTGCAGACCGAGCTCTCACCCAGGAGAGCTCACAATCTGAGGGTACACGTCCTGATGCCTGAGCTCCCACAGTCAAGGGTGGGAGTACCAGGGGGCCAGAGGCAGTGGGCAGCCGACCCCACTGCATGCTTTCCACTCCACGGTGAGCCAACGATGGGGACTTGCACCTCTCAGAACCGCTCAACACCCGGCAGAGCCCCCACCGCACAACAAAGAGGCCCAAGCCACCCTGGAACACAGTCTCCAAGATAGCAGACGAGCAACACAACCAAAACGCCCAGTCAGGTACCCCGCCCCAGGCAGGGTATATGAAATACGGCTGTAGAAGACGAATATCTTTTTCAAGGGAGAGCTGATATATTTTTTGTATCTACAATAAATACAAAAAATGGCACAAACAGTCACAAAGCACAGCGGAAGTGTTTTTTGGGGAGACCGTAACATGACAGGACATTGGCAGAAGCCAACAGTAAGCAGCTAATGTAGCTACAGTATTATTTGACTTATCATTAAAACACATATTTCATGTCTTTTTCCCTCACAACACTCATAATTCTCTGCTTCTTTGTTTCTCAGTACAGTCTTTCACATGTTTTGGTTTCTGTCATTTTCACAGCTGTTCCTCACATTACTGTCTCCCCCAAAAATACTTAAATTGTGTTTTTCAGATTATTTTTTTCTACTTCTGCTGTGTTTTATTCAGCCCCTGTTGTTTTTGTGTGGTTTTGCAGCAATTTTCAATTGGTTGATGTTTTCTGAAGTTGCACTGACCTCTCAAGGCCACTGTGTATTACCCCTTCATACATCCTGTTGACTAAAGCCTATTTACTAATATAAAGAAATATATTAGAATTTTAAAAAAGTTCATACAAACATCAGCAATCACTTTTTAGCAGACAAAATGATGATCATTCATGATTTTATCTCTTTTCATTTGGATTGCTGCAACAGACAAATCAGCTTTAGATTGCCTTCAGACTGTACAGAATGCTGCAGTAAGATTTTATTAGCAATAACAGAAGATCCCATATTACTCAAGTTTTGACTTCTCTTCATTGGTTGCCAGTAAATTTTAGGTTTCATATAAAAATTTTAGCTTTAACTATTAGAGCTCTACACGGTGAAGTATGTCTTTGAACTGTTGAAACTTCATGCTTCTTCCCGAGCACTTAGGTCTTCAGGTCAGAGGCTGCTGTTGGCCCCACGTGCTAGCTTTAAAACCTGTGGGGATCGGGCTTTTCAGGCAGTGGCACCAAGGTGTCTTTATGCTGTACAGACTTTATTGACTCATTAAAAAAGCAGCTGAAAACATTTCTATAAAGACGAGCTGCAAATTAATTTGTTTTCTTATATTTTCATTATATGTTTTATGTTTTTATTTTATTTTTCTGCTTATTCTCGTATGACTGAGCCATTAGCTTTTTCTGAATTTGGAGGTCGATTTGTCAAGCTAAGTGTGTCTAGTGTGTGTGTGTGTGTGTGTGTGTGGTGGGGTTCCAGTTGTGCTCGGCTGAATGTCTGGGTGTGATGACAGTCTCAAGAAGCTGAAAAACTAAGGTGACTGAACTGCTTTATATTTTGTTTTGTTTTTTAAGACTTTCACTCTCCAAATGTAGCTCTTCTTCAGACCTTTGCTCAACTAAAGTGATGGGCCCGCTTATTCAAAGAAACTCGAGTATGTGTCTATACAGTCTTCCTTTTTTAGTATTTGTTTTATTCTTTTATAAGCTAATTTTATTATAAATACAACTATGTTTACTGTTATCTGTATTTATCCCATGAGTTCTATCAGAATCAGAATCAGAAAGGGTTTTATTGCCAAATGTTGAGCGGTTTACAACATTAGGAAATTGCTGCGGTGCTTCAGTGCAAACATACTGTTATAAATTACGCTTAAATAGACATGAAAATAAAAATGAGAATAAGAATTAAAAGTGCTAGAGTAGATAGATATATACATGATATATACATGAGTGCAGGTGGTGATCAGTGCCAAACATGGAATGATGCAGTGACACAGCGTAGGGTCATGTGTTAGTGGTGGGAACAGTCATACGGTTATTTTCTGTTCCAACACAAAAAAATTTCTTCTGACGTTTGTGCTTTTGGTGTCAGGTAATTGGAGAAATGGATTTCCCACTGGGAAAATGAATGTGGCCTCTCCAGGTTGGAAAAACATCTTAGAAAGTCAGAGGTAATTTCCCTGCATTCATGTGGCTTCTTGGGTTGTTAGAATTCATGAATTGCAAAGTTGTTTCACCAACTTTTTTGTATTCATGTGGAATCAACATGGACACAAGATGGAAAAACTGTTTCAATTTTCAGTATTTAAAGTCTGTTGATGGCTGTTTCCACAACGGAAAATAACCTCTCCAAATGTAGCTCACACTAGGTGGACAGCAGCTAAATGTTAAAAACCTAGCAACAAATTAAAGGTAACCTTTAGCAAAAAAAAAGCAATAATATTAAACAATTATTCTGACAAACCAAGTATAAACTTTCAATTCAGTTCTCTTTACATAGCGCCAAATCACAACAACAGTCGCTCAAGGGCTTTATATTGTAAGGTAGACCCTACAATAATACATACAGAGAAAAACCCAACAATCATATGACCCCCTATGAGCAAGCACTTTGGCGACAGTGGGAAGGAAAAACTCCCTTTTAACAGGAAGAAACCTCCGGCAGAACCAGGCTCAGGGAGGGGCGGGGCCATCTGCTGCGACCGGTTGGGGTGAGAGAAGGAAGACAGATCAGCAGTGAGACTTTGCACTTTATCCATGGTAAATGGCCTGTATTTGTATAGCGCTTTTCTAGTCCAAGGACCCCAAAGCGCTTCACACTACATTCAGTCATTCACCCATTACGGATGGCAAGCTACATTGTAGCCACAGCTGCCCTGGGGCGCACTGACAGAGGCGAGGCTGCCGGACACTGGCGCCACCGGGCCCTCTGACCACCACCAGTAGGCAAACATGGGGTTAGTATCTTGCCCAAGGATATTTGGCATGCAGCCAGGATGCAGCCTGGGATCGAACCACCGACCTTCTGATTAGTGGCTGACCTGCTCTGCCATCTGAGCTACAGCCACCCTACAGCCACCCCATCCGTCTATTATCTTCCCTTTATTCTTATTAAGGTTGTGTCAAAATTTTCCTGGGAGAAAATATAATTTCCTGTGCTACATGTCCTGGTCTGAGCATTTCAAAAACTGCGGCTCTTATGGGGTTTTTCCCATACAACCTGTCTGTGGGGTTTAGAGAGTGGTCCAAAAAAGAAAATATGTGGTGAGCAGCAGTTCTCTGGTAGAACATGCCTTCTTCATGCAAGAAGACAAGAGAATTTCTGATTTGAGCTAACAGAAAGAGAAAAGTAAGGCAAATAATGAAAGTATGTGGAAGAGGATGTTTGAATGCACAATAAGCTGAACTGTGAAGGAGATGGTCTACAGCAGCAGAAGACCACACCAAGTGCAAATCTGTCAGCTGAGAACAAAATGCTGAGGCTACATTTCACACAGGCTTGCCAGAATCGGACAATAGAAGATGTGACGATTCTGATGAGTCTCAGTGGCTGTCTCATGGCTGCTTCCACAATGTCACCAACCTCAATTCTGGTTCTCAAAAAACAATGAGTTCACTGCACTCAAATGGCCTCCACAGTCACCAGATCTTCATCCAGCAGTCACCTTCGGGATGTTGTGGAGCAGGAGATTGACATCATGGATGTGCAGCTGACAAATCGGCAGTAAATCTTTGATCTCTGATAAATGTTTCCAGCACATTCTTGAATCTGTGCCATTAAGAATTAAGGCTTCTCCGAAGGCACAAGGGGTCCAACCCAGTACAAGCAAGGTGTACTGTATAAAGTATCCAGACTGTGTGTGTACATTATTTCCAGTTAAAATGGTGGTCTATGTTCTGTATTATTAATAATTGAGACAGGATATCCATAATAATACTCTAACATGCAGCTGTAGCTGTGAGCACAGGGGCCCCACCCACCCTCACTTCAAATCTTCCAGTTACGAGGAGCTGCCAATCAGAAGAAAGGTGTGTTAAGAGAATGTGGATGGGAGCTAAAAAGATTGTTTTTGGTTATTATTACTATAATTATTATTATTTGGTTAGATTATTTAGGTAGTGGATAAATTGGGGGTCTGCACCAGTAGAGATTATTTTCAGCTTTGAATCGTGCAAACTTGAGGAACAATTGAAAATACAAAGCTGGAAATGAGCTTAAAAGGTTCCTTTTAATGTCCTGTTTAAACACATTAAGCAACAAAACAACACATCTTGTTGTTCTCCACTCACTGAACAAACTGTAAGAATAAAACTGAGGCTGATTTTAGTTGTGAGTCACTGCATGTTCTGCATGTGACACATACTCTATATAATTTAAAAAAACACACATGGGGTGAATGTAAAAATCTGTTTCTTTTTGGGGAGAATTCAGAATTTTTTCTTCTCTTCACGTGTGATTACAGAGCAGAAATGTGTGATTTTCCTCATTAAATTACATGTGAAAACCTGAGCTCAGCAGCAAAATGAAGTCAAATTACAGCGAGGTCTCTAAAACAGCATTAGTCTTCTGAGGAATATAAAATTGCCACTGTACTGTACTTTGTACTGTTATTTTGTCACAGCCAAATCAGACAAGTGCAGTTTGGCAGGACGCATTTGACTGGCTTGAATTTAATGATAATGCGACGTATAAAGATACATTATGGTACATTTTTCCCCTCTCATTCTGTGATCTTGTTGAAGCATTATCCT